TGTTGCAGGATAATTTTTAGGGTTAGCTCTCATGTGTCCTGTGCTCTGTGCTGTCTGGATCTGCACTTGTGTTTCAGTGTTTCAGTATTATAATAGAAAATTTACACTTATTATAAATTATGAAGACAGTTAAAACATCATGAGAATGGTGGGAAGTATGTATTTGGAAGGATTTTTATAATGTGTATATTCGGAGGTTAACTTCTATTTTATGATAAATTTACCTAGAACAACTGCTACTTTCCTGTCTTTCCCTTACCTCCTTTACTCCAGGATAGTGGCAGGTAAATCAAGTTTAAAAAAATTTTTTTGGTCTTTTTTTTAAGACAAGGTCTCACTTTGTAGTTCAGACTGGCTTTGAACTCACTCTTGTGCAGGCTAGCCTTGAACTCACAGCGATCCTCCTGCCTCAGCCTCTCAGGCTCCTCAGTGCTAGGATTACAGACATGTGCCACTACACCTGGCAATTTGTGGGATAACTTTTGGAGATTTTTCATAGGTGAAAAAATAAGAGCTCAAAGGTTATGATTTCATTCAAATTATATATTTAGTGTACTTGCTGTTAATAAAACCCAGGACACCTGAGTAAAAGTCCTAGACTCAGATTCACATTTAGGTCCGGATCTTGATTTGAGTGAAAATATTATGTGTGGCAAGATTCTTTTCAGAAAATAGCTGATTGTATCTTGTAAAGTTGTTGTAGTGTTAGGAACATGTAAAGTATTGGCAAGTAGCTATAGTAACTACTGTTATATATTTTCATTGTAATGATAACCATTTATAAGAACCATGTTTTTTTCCTTTGTTGAATTAATGTTCTGTAATCTTATTGTGATCACTCTGAAGCGTAGATTTCCAAGCTTCAAGCAAACACTATTATGTTGAAACATCTACATTATTTCTAAGTTCAGAAGCACCAGTGAAAAGAGTACTCAAGTAGGAAATTACTTTTTAAATTGAGAAATTTAGGTTGTGAATTTATCTTAAAGAAGATCTCAGAGTATTGATGCACAGATACGAATGCACTCCATATCTAGTGTTGTGGTTTTAAGCTAATACTGTGGTCTGATAGTATTATGGTAGTATCGTAGGTCTAAAAGATATGTATAACTTATACTTTATAGTCTGCTTTTAAAGAAATTAATCATATACGAGAGATTTACATAAAACAACTCAGGCTTAAGAATAAAAGGTTGACTCACAATACATTAGAAAAATTTCAAAAGCAGATGACAGGACGTTAATGTCCAAAAAGCATAAAATCTGATCAAAAATGTCATTTTATGTTAAAAAAGGATATGCTCCACATGAATACCTAGCAGTTATGAAGTCATGTACTAAACTAACAAAATGGATTAAGCAAAACCTGAACAAAATGAAGAATTGATAGAAAAACAGTGATAGTAATAGTCTTTTATTTAAGGAGGCACAAAATAGGTAGCTGATTTGAAAATATAATAAAATTATATACATATATATATACACATATAGATATATATATAGCACAGGTATATATTTTTTCTATCATCTACAGAACAGTTCCAAGATTAATAATTCATTAGTCCAACTACAAAATCAGAACAAAACAAAAATCCTCACAAGTAGAAATGTATATACATCATTTCTTGATTATAATTCCATAGAGCTATAGTTATAGAAAACATTTTAAAAGTCTAATTTAAGCCTGTATGGAAGAATTACTACCATGTTCTTAGGTAAGTTTTGTATCAGTGAGGAAATACAGATTCATATTAGAGATTATTAAAGATTAATAACTAGAGATTAATAAAGATAAATATATAAATTAATTTAGGAACAGTAAACCACTTAAACTAGTAAATCTAAATACTGATTATATGAAAATGCCAAAAAAAATTCAGTACATCTTGTTTAAAGTCCCCCAAGGAATGTGTGTATATGTGTGTGTATATAATATATTTTATATGATTGAATTATAGTATGTGATAAATTGTTCTTATTTGGGTGAACACCAGGATACCCTTTAACATTTGAATAACTGGTAATGTGATTGTTCTTAAACTTTGGTGAAATTATTCCAAGAGTAGTATAAAAGATAGACTGGAGAATAGATTTTCAACAGTTTAAAAACAGTTGTCTATGGCCAGATACCAGGAAGAAACAAGTAGGCCATGGAAAACCAGGACGGATTTTTGAAGTGGTACTTAGAGTCCACATCTGGATTTTGGCACTGAATAGATGTGCAAGAATTAAAGATGACTATTCTAAATGAATTTAATCTCTGATTGTCTTGTGTGCGCAAGTGTGCATGTGTGTGTTTGTGTGTGTGTGTGCGCGCGCGTGTGTTTGTCCTACCTGCAGGTAGTTCACCTGATGACTCACTGTATCAATCTGACCTCCAGTCTACTGCCTAGACCTTTGCCACAGAATTGGGGTTCCCTACTTTGTAAATCACTACTACTCTTGGAGCTTATTACTTTAGCAAGAAGAAGATGACAGGGTGGTATAGGGGCTGAGTGGAAGCTCTGAAGTTTGTAATTTTTGTTCAGCTGGTATTTACACGTTATTTACTCAGTGTTGGCAATTAATAGGTTCATGTATTCTTTATGTTTGTCTAGCACTTGCAAGTATTAACTGAATATATAAAGACCTGTATTATAGGCATACTAACAATCACTACTTGAGAAAACTTTGTGTACCATTGTATACAAACTTACACTATAAATGGAGATAAAGAGAAAACCTCTATCATCCAGAGAATAATAACTTGGTCTTATAAATTGGGTTTGACTTAAATATTTTTCATTTTATTTTTTGAGTAGATAATAAATTCATATGATTGAAAAGTTCAAATGGTTCAAAAAAGTATCCTTCCTATCCATTTTCCATATGTGTGTGTGTGTGTGTGTGTGTGTGTGTGTGATTGTGTGTTGAACCAGCTCAGGCTTGTCTTGAACTCATTGTGTAGCCCAGGCTGGCCTCAAAGTCACAGAGCTCCTCCTGCCTCAGCCTCCCAAGTGTTAGGGTTATAAGCATTTGCTACCACACCCGGCTCCCTATTTTCCATCTGTTATTTCTCCCAACCCATTAGCAATTCTGAATTGTATCTTTTTTCTGGTTTTTTCCTTTATTTTCCTTTGTTTTTTATTAATATACGTTTGTAGTTCAGAATGAGTACATTTATCATGGGGTGTTGGTACATGTATACATCACATCTTAATTCTTTGTTTGCTCTCCTGTATTGTATTTTGATGAACATGAATTACAAGTTGTTTGCTGAAATTATATTGAATAATGTATAAGAAAACATTTTAAGTTAAACTTAAATATTTTTAAACTTTAAGGATACTTTTTGTTTGAGAAAGGGTCTGGCCCAGGCTGTCTTTGAACTCTTGGGCTTGAGCAGTCCTCCTCCCTTTCCTCCTGAATGACTAGGACTATAGGACACTGGACTGACTACACATTGGGCCCAACAAAAATACTTTTTAGTGTTCATTTTTGTAAGAGTTCTTCAGGGCATTACAACTTGACCATTTTTTGAGAAAAACACATAGAAATTAAATTCAGGCTATACCAAAATAATATGTACCTTAAATATGGGTAGACTTTTAAACTGTTAATTAGTATTTGTATATAGTTTCATCCTGCTTTTATGTAATTGCATCTGGTATTTTGTCAAAATCCTGCAAAGAAAGAATGATACAAAATTGTCCTCACTTTTCTGAGAATACAAATTGGGGTTTTTTGTCAGCAATCAGGTTTAAGTCTTCTAGGGCCTTTACACTGTGGCCAAAAGCTTAAGTCATTTGTCATGATTTCAAGTAGTTTATATACATATTTTGACATTTTGTGTGTGTGTGTGTGTGTGTATGTACATGTGTGTATACTTGTAATAAAATCATGCTAATCCTTAAAAAATTCTGAAAATAGTATGTAGATACATCACTCTTGGCAGTTCACTATACCTGTTTTTAAATTCATATAAATATATTTTATACATTTCATTTGGGAGAAGAAAGATTTTGTGTCCAGAGTTTTGAACAAGTAGGGAAGGTTTACATGAAACTAGTAACTTAAAGAGAAATGTTGGGAATTCTTTTTCCTCTTGAGTTTACTTTCAGTTTTTGCAAGTCAATTTTAACTGTTAGACTTCTTAATGTTGTTTATTATTTGTTTTGTATTAAGTTGATTTTTTTCCATAAGCCACATTGTGGAGTAGAAAAAAGCCTTAGAGAGATATTTTAATACTTCATTTATTCATCATCATTAGTGAATGTACTGAGTAGATTTTTTTCCTTAAATATCTCGGATTCCTCTTTTACATATCATGTGATTATATACTATAAGCATTTTTAATACTTAATATTTTCTAAAACATGTTTATACTTCCCTAGTTTCTTCAAAAGAGATATATGTAGCATAAGGACATATTTAGATCTGTAAATGGGTTGTTGCATTTCCTTTATGTCAGCTGAGCAATCCTGATTTTGTAGGGCTCTAAGGCTAGCATACTTTTTGTTACTACTGTTTTCTGCCTTTTAAAGGCAATATGCCCCTATTTAGTTTGTTCATTCTGATTCATTTTTGTTTGGAAAATAAGTAACCAAATTTGTGAGGAAGTATGTATTTAATAAGAGGCCATAAATCCTTGTGGTGGGGAGCCTTAGGTTTAAAGAGCATAGCTGTAGTGCAGAGTCATTTGACAAGTTATTTTGGATAATCAGTGACCTTTGCTTATTGGGTTAATGGGTCAGAGCATTGTTTTGATCTTTGAAAAATGAGGTATTATAACAATTGTGTTTTAAGGAAGAAAAATTATTCTGACATTTTCCCTTGTATTGATGTTGCTCTGATTTACTCTTGTTATTGAGCTGGATTTAAATATTAATCATTTAAGGTCAAATTTTAAGGTTTATATGTTCTTCAATGGATACAGCCCATTACAATAGCAATTTAGTGAAATAACTATAATGGAACTTTTCTTTTGAATTTGGCTTCTCTTTTTTTTTTCTGTTCACCAGGGAGTAACTATTCCCAGTCAGAGGCGCTATGTGTATTATTATAGCTACCTGTTAAAGAATCATCTGGATTATAGACCAGTGGCACTGTTGTTTCACAAGATGATGTTTGAAACTATTCCAATGTTCAGTGGCGGAACTTGCAGTAAGTGCTCTGAATTCTCATCCTTCCACATGTTGGAACACTTTTCTTGACGTATCTAAGCAGTAAAGTATATGTAAATATCTAAAAGAAAATTAACACATTTAAAATTTATGCAGGAGAGTATGTTTTTGAAGTATCTGAATTAGCTTCATTGTTCAGTTCATTAGGCCAAAGAAGCCAAGAACACAGGTTTTAATGTTCTTGAAGCCAAATTATATTTATAAAGGAAATTTTTTATGCTACCACCACCAAATGCAGCCTAAATTCTGGCCAGATGACTGACAAATCTGTCCCATCAGAGGTTCAGTTTGAGAATGACAGTGGGAATTCACTGGTCTTGGGGCAAGAACCAATTCTTTCATCTTGAAAAGACTAGATATTTACAGTAATGGTAACAAAACAGTAGGAGAGAGGTGGTAAAACATGTTAGCAAGCTCAAGTATGAGTAAAGAGTAGGATTAAATCAGTGTGTGGAGTATTAGAGAAAACCTGGATTTAGGTCTAAGTTTTAGTTCTAGATCAATCAGTAATGTATTGTTCAACCCCAGGCATATCATCTACATTTTTGAGTTCACTCATCTAGAAAATAGATAGTGAAATATGAAACTTTTCTGGATAAGAAGTAAATATAGACCACGTCATTGATGTCTGCCTCTAATTTATGTCTCTCTCATAGCCTAACCTCTTTTAAGCTTGCCTTAGTGATCCTAATCCTGTTCTGCTTCTATGCTATTCTTGGCTAGAGTTCTTAGCTAGACTGATAGGAAGCTTAATACCTGGATCCAAAGCAGGTGATCAAAGGAGAAGACAAGGAAGGAATTACTATCCAGCCCTATGAAAGATGAGACTGGCCTTTTTTGTTTTTTCTGAAACAATTTTGTAAGACTGGAATTTAAATACCATATGGAAGTAATAATGTTTTTATTTTTAGGAAATATATTTTATTAGAATTTAGATGATAATTCTGTAGTTTCTAGGTAAGATACCGCATTACTTTTTCTTTTAATACCTTTAGTATTGCTTCAGTGTTAGTGTGCATTGCTAGTCGTTTTAGTTTTTAGCTTTGCATTTTGAAAATATTTATGTAAAGGTTTTTTATTCCTATATTAGT